CCTTCGCATGTACAAAAACTTTAAGTTTTTGATTAGGGTTGCCACCTATTTAAAATTACTATCTTCTATACATAGTATAAAGGAAAGGCGAGATATTTTAACCACGCTACTGAGCGGATTTAGACAAGATTTTGTATGTATATAATAATCGAAGGACATGATGACATATGGTTTCTTTCTCCAAATACTTAAATGTACATACATATGCACACATTCAGAGCGTGGCGAAGCCTCGCGCATCCGTGGCCGACTAGTATGCTTATAATTCAGAAATAAAATTGGGAAATTTTCACAAATAAAAGTGTGACTCTCCTATTTATTTTTATTATAACGTTGCAAACCTTGGAGCGTTGATTGCTCATGTTTGAGTCTACAAAAAACTGATAGTATTTGGAGAGAAGAATCGAACGCAGCCCGTTAGAAGTATGTGCTTGCAATAGAAAAGAAGTTGTGAAGAGTCAAATTGGCGTGACTCCTTTTTTTAAATTCTGACAATCACGGCTTTTATAGTATACTTATAGCAAGAAAAATTACAAAAAAAAACATATACACTTAACGACACTTGATTACCCTTGCTTGAATTATTACGACGTTTTTTTGGGTGGCATCCATACAAAAATTTTATACCAGGGACCGTAAATAAGAGTTACTTTTTTCGACAGCCAAACTTGGCCAGATATTTTTAAGTCGAAAATAAAAGTCCTTTTCCTAAAAATAATCTCCGGGTTTGCTGTAGAGGTTTCCTCTGCCCAAGATTCTCGGTCTGCGATAGATACCTTAAAATTCCTAGAAATGACTAGTATTGGAACTACTGCGTCCCTCATGTGCATTATGGGATCATTTGTGAAATTCATTAGGACCTTCATATGACCTGCCATGTTTCTGGTTTTTAATTCGGAAGTATTTAGGATTCTCAGTGCCTCTCTATTAGAATTGGGAAGGGCAGTATGCACAAGAGCACTAAGTGCATCAGCAGGACAGGTCCGAATAGCCCCTGTTATACCAATGCACACCGTTCGGTTTAGTTTGATTAGTTTTGCGCTAGCAGTTCTATGTGTCGCTTATGTCCACCATGCCAAGGATGCGTAGGACTATTGGCACACAACTATGTTGAGTGACAAGCAGGTAATTTTGGGGGAAAGTCCCCATGTCTTCCCATAAAGTCGCGTTCATGCGAAGAAGGCTCCCATTGCCTTGTTTACGGTTGCATCCAAATGTGCATTCCAGGTGAGTGTCTTATCCAGCCACACCCCTAGGCATTTTTCTTCATTTGAGAGCCCCACTCTAGTGCCGCCCAGAGTAAATTCTGTCATGGATAACTTTTTCCTACGGGTAAACGGAACCCGAGTAGATTTAGTAGGATTAATGGATAATCCTTTGGTGTCACACCATCTTTGCGTAATGCGATTGCATGCGGTTGGAAATTGGTTCACCGTGCAGCCCTCTTACGCAAATTACCAGATCGTCTGTATAGCCTTGTGTTTCGAAGCCATGGTCGTTCAGTTGGAAGAGAAGTTCGTCTGAGAGAGTACACCCTCTTGAGGGCAACCTCTTGTGGCTGCAATAGATTCTTTCGTGCCTCCCAGCTCCATCCTGATATTCCTTGTTTTTAGCATAGAAAGTACCCAATTTATTATTATGGGGCTTACTTCCTTGCATATCAGGGCATCCCTTATAGCCCTGTATGACGTGTTGTCAAAAGCCCCTGAAATGTCAATGAAGGCACAAAGGGCTATGTTCTTAGACTCCAGATCCTTTTCGATTTTCGACGTAAGGCTGTGAGTGGTAGTCTCAGTGGATTTGCCTGGTTGATAGGTAAATTGGTTCTTATTCAGTGTTCTTTCTGTTAGGCTGACTTCTCTGATGTGTTGGTCCTAGATTTTCTACATGCCTTTCAGGAGAAAGGAGCTCAGGCTAATTGGTCTGTAGGATGAAGGCATCTGCTCCGGTTTACCTGCCTTTGATAAAAATACGACCTTAGCCTCTGGCCATCTACTGGGAATATGACACAGTAAGAACGACGGTCTGTATAGTCTGGAGAGGGCTGGGGATACATAGTTACTTCCTTGTTGGAGTTGACCGATAGACCCCATCTGGTCCTGGTGGTTTGTATGGGCTGAGGGTAGATACCGCCCATTGCACTCTTTTCACTGTGGTATGTGTAGTTGCAAGGCTTTGTTCTCTACCAGAAGTGCGTGCTGGGACACCCACTCCCAGTCTGAATGAAGCTGTTCAGCCTCAGTTTCAAGCTCGTGTGCAGTCGTAATTTGACCTGTTTGGCTGTTTCCACCTTCTTCAATGATAAAGCGAAAGAGTTCCTGGTTTGTTTTCCTGTGATTTCTAAACACTAGTTAATGCTCAGGAAAGTGACCAATGTCGAATTCTATGTGTATATGGTCCGACATTGATATTACCCCTGAGACGCGCCAGTTTGTGACAGACGCTGCCATGTTCTGACTACTTAGAGTAAGATCTAAGACTTCCCCTCTAATAGCGTTCCTAAATGTTGGTTCGTTACCACGGTTTATAACACTTATGTTATAAATACTTATAAACTCAAGGAGGTACTCACCCCTTTTGTTGGTGATGGTGCTCCCCCAAATAGGACATTTGCATCACAGCAGAGGATCCATGGTATACCACTCCGTCGGCAGTGATCAATTAGCGCCTTTAGAGCCGGAATTTTGGCCCATACCGCAGCGAAATCCGCTGCAATTAACTGTGAAAGAGGAAGAAACGTTAGTTTGTTACTTAATAGCATCGCCGCTCTTAGGCAACAGCTGGAGGCGTAGATAATCTTACCGTACTTTGTACAAAGGCCTTTGACGTCACTTCTTATTATCCAGTGTTCCTGAATGAAGGATACACCTAAGCCTTCGTTTTTGAACCCCTTATGCTGCCTTGGCGTGATAAGGGTTCACTTGGAGGCATTTAGCGTGCCTCAGTTGTTGGAAGTTTAGGGGTGAGGTGCTATTACTTTCGGCCTTTTCGGCCGCGAGCAGCCACCTTCTTCCCCCTGTTGCCCTTAAGCAAGACCGCTTCTTCGGCCGCCCTTGCATCTCCCTTGCATTTACGGCTGAAAATAGGCACTTTAGAGCTGCCACGTAGTGGTGGCCCTTTTGCAGGCTTTGGGCACACGTTGTAGGTTCGGGCATGTTGTTGCTGCTGTTTTCGGTGACGTGTTATATTTTTCGTAGTCGGCGGCATCATCATCTACCACGGGTAAAGACAGTTTGGCTTTCCCTCTAAGATTTACTACGCCAAAGCCATATTTTATCACGTTTCCGCGGTGATTTAGCGTATCTGCCGATAGCGGGTCCACTGCAATGGTAATTTTCGCTATTATTGACCTGCGCACTCGATTTAGGATGCACCAGTCCGGAATTCTCTGGCCGTCTTTCTGTGCCTGAAGTAAACTGAGCATATGCTCACTCAGCTTTCCAGCTCCGGGGAGAGTCCCACAAGAATGATGCGGTGAGGTGTTTCTGCCTCCTCGACCACTATCCACTTCCACTAGGCCAGCTTTTGAACAGTGTTCCGTATTGTTATATATTGAATACAAATTTAAATTACCCTTTGAAGACTTTAAAATAAAATACTTTTTAATGCAACTATGCGTAAAATTAGATTAAGTAGATTATATTGATAGTGCCATGTTTTCATAGATTTAAAAAAGAGCAACAATCTTGGAATTCATACTTAGAACAGTCAAATGAACATTTTGTAGCGTATTCGGTTCTCTCTGTGGAAAAACTAAAATTATTTTTCCTATCTTGGATTGGCACTGAAATATTCGAGTTGATAAAAAATGTTTTCGGTAGTGCGCAGTTACAGAACAATCATTTAAGCAAATAACTGACAAATTAACTGCGCATTTCCAGTCGAAGCGACATACAGTCGCTGCACGCTACAAATTTTTCAAAAGCGAAATGAAGCCGCAACAGACATACAGGGAATGGATAGCCGATTTGCGCGGCTTAGCGCGAGATTGTCAATTCGTGTGTTACGCCGAAAATTGTATGCACAATTACGTATACGGCATGACGTGAGAAAATTTTAACACCCACCCGCACGATCCTGTACACTCTGCTGCGTTGCAGAAGCTGCAGCCCAGTCTTGCCGACGTTAATCATGGCGGAGTAGCATGAAGCAACAACAAAAACTATGGCTACACTAAAAGAACAAGTGCCGGAAAAACCATGTCCAGTGAACGCTGTCAATACAAAATCAAAAAAGACCTACAGAAACAACAACGACAATAATAAAACAAAATTCAAATCGTGTTCGGACTGTGGACATACACATAAAGGAGAAAACTGTAAATTTGGAAATTCTGTATGCCATAAGTGTAACAAGGTACGTCATATTTCCCCAGTATGTATGTCAAAACAAAGCAAAAATAACGAAAGTAAGGAAAGAAGAAAAAATAAAGACTACCATCGTAAAAACCAAAGTGATGACGTTGATGCGATAGAAACGATTTACAGCGTGACGGGGATAATAACAACTGAAAATTATAAAAATTATATCAACCTGGAAATCTTAAACAAAATTGTTCTATATCAAATGAACTCGGGTGCAACTATTTCAATAATAAATAAGACTACGTACAATCAGCTAAATCGCCCAGAGTTGCGAAAGTGTTCAAGAGTATTATTTGGGTTTGCCCAAAAGCGAATTCGAGTGATTGGTGAAGTTTTTGTTAAAGTAAAAGGCGGCAAGAAAGAAGAAAATGTTCCAATAATTGTATATGTATATGTATATGTTGAACACGGCAATAATTTATTTGGGTTCGACTTGTTTAAAGTGTTCGGTTTTGAAATTCAGCAGTATGCAGTATCAGTGCAAATGAAACAAATGAGGTTCAAAAGGAGTGTGACAAATATTGCGACGTTTTTCAGCCTGCGCTAGGTACAATAAAAAACTTTGGAGCATGTGTATTTTTAAAGCCGAACGCGCGCCCCAGATTTTATAAAAGCCGCCAAATCCCCTTTTCTCAAATGCCACAATTTAAAAAAGAGATTGATCGACTCACAAGTGCCGGTATTTTAAAGGCCGTGAAATTTTCGAAATGGGCTTCTCCCATTGTGTTAGCGCCGAAATCAGACGGCTCATTGAGAATTTGTGGAGACTTTAAATTAGCTGTCAATGCCCAAATTGATATTGAGCGTTACCCAATGCCAACGCGCGAGAGTCTTTTGCACACAATTCGTTGCGGGCAGCATTTTTCTAAAATCGACCTGAAGGACGCGTACCTACAGATGGAGCTCGATGATGATTCCAAAGAAATTATGGTAATTAACACGCCACTTGGATTGTTCCAATACCAACGTCTGCCCTACGGAATAGCAAGTGCTCCAGCCATATTCCAAAAATACCTCGAACAGCTATTGCAAGCTGTGGAAGGTTGTGGAAATTATCTCGATGATATTATTGTCACAGCGCCAACATTTTCGAAACATGTCAGCCGTTTGGAACAAGTTCTAAACATTTTACACGAAAATGGTATAAGGTGTAAACGTAAAAATGTTGGTTTTTGCAAGAGCAGATTGAATACCTCGGGCGCAAAATTAGTGCTCAGGGCGTATTGCCGGACGAATCGGGCGTTAAAGCGGTCCAAAATCTTCCACCGTCCACCAACCTCAAGCAAGTAGAAGCTTTCATGGGAAAGGTAAATTATTATCATAATTTTATGTATCTTAACACATTTATTTTATTTAACTAATAATTTTGGTTGTATTTTTAAGGCTATTCAGTCTTTTATAATACATCAGCGCACATTAATTTACAAAATTAGAATCTTAACCCTAACATAAAACAAAAAAGAGATAACAATAAATTTAAATTTAAGTACAATAAATCATTCTTCAATTTAATATTAAAACTTAACATCAAATAATAGTAATTACACAACAATAAAGTATAAAAGAGAAAGAAAGAAATAAGGAGAGAGGAGAGAAAAGCTGAGTTGCAATCACATTTATCTCATAGTACTAAAGTATTCATGTATTATCCTCCCGTAGTTGCTCATATCCAGCGCAGACCTAACACTATCACTAACAGAATTCCAAAGCCTCACCGTATTGACGAAAAACAGCCTCGAGGAAGACAGATAGGAATAGTTAGGGATTATAAGATTTGTGTGCCTGCAAAACTTAGTTAATTTTAACTTTTCGTAAAGGTATTTCGGTGTTTTGAATTCAATAAGTTTGTACATATATACACAGTTTCTTGCTGCGAGATATTCAAAGATGCTGCATCCAAGAATTTTGTTTCTCCAGAAGGAGATATGGTCATATTTTTTGAGGCCAAAAACATAACGCGTAACATTATTAAACTCAACATCAATTTTGTGATGCGAAATGGAATCAAGCTTGCTATATACAAGCTCAGAGTACGTTATGTGTGGTACTATGAGTTGAATAGCTAGCTTTCTTCGAGTCTCCAAAGGCGTAAATGACGCTGACACTCTCAATCTACGTAAAACAGAATACACATTACTCACAGCTTTATTTATATGGTCAGACCAGCTCAAGTTAGAATTAACGACGAAGCCTAAATTTCGAATTTTGTTAGTAAATTCAAGGACACTATTAACAACAAAAAGTTTTGGAATATCTTCTACATATACTTCACTATTACTAACACGTAACACATATGACTTTTCAGCATTTAAGCGAAGAAAATTATCACGCGCCCATTGCGAAATTTGCAGACAAGTCACTATTTATTTTACAACACATATCCTCAACAAGACCAACACGGCTAGACAAATACAACTGAATGTCGTCAGCATAAGCATGGATATGGACATACATCATTAACAAAAAGACTAAACCAAAGGGGACCAAGCGCGGATCCTTGCGGAACACCGGAATCAACAACACAAAAATTGGAGGAGATATCTTTACACTTCACTTTTTGGGTTCTTCCCACGAGGTAGCTAGTCATAAGTTTAACAGAGCTTTCAGAAAAACCAAAGTAATATTTGAGCTTTGCACAAAGTAGGTCGTGATTTACTAAGTCAAATGCCTTAGAAAAATCAAGGAGACAAAGAAGGGTTAAGTCACCGTTGTCAAACTGTATTCTTATGTCGTCAAGTATTTTTAGCATAGCCGTAGAACAGCTATGCTTGGGTTTAAATCCTGATTGCAATGGGGATAAAAGGTTATTTCCTTGGACAAAGTGGGAAATTTGCGCTGCCATCATAGACTCGCACACTTTCGAAAATATTGACAAAATGCTTATTGGCCTATAATCACTGGGTTTTGTGGCAATATTCTTTTTGGCGACAGGAATAATAACCGCTTTTTTCCATTCCGTTGGAAAACAGTGATAAACGATATGTGTGAGAGTTCCTAGAATAAATGGCAGCACAAGTTTGACAAACTGCAGGGATATCCCATCCTCGCCAACAGCATTAGATTTGATGCTCATAATGGATTTCATAACTTCAAATTCAGTCACTCCGTTAAATTGAAACGTTTCCTTTAGTGTAAAATTGCTATTTAAATTATTAACTACAGGACATCACAGCTTTTACTAGCACTACTAAAATAGGCATTAAGCACGTTTGGATCGATATTACACTCAGTCTTAAGTTTTCCATGCACATTAAGATGTTTTAAATTGCGCCATAGATCTTTGGAAGGCACTGAAGGGTTCAGCTTGGACCTACAATAAACCGCTTAGCTTGTCTTATAACTGTAGTAACAGTCAAGTAGCTTGTTGGCATATGAGTCGTTTAACAACAGATTAACATTGAAATCACCACATACAACAAAACGTTCATACTCTATTAAAAACTCAAATAGCTCAGAAAAAAA